TTACATAAAAATTTTATTATTTATTTTTAAATCAATTTTATTTGATTTTATTGACTGTAATTGTGATAATGTTTTCCCAAACTATGTGTCCATCCATTAGGCAGTCATCATCAGTGAACTGTAGAGAGGATGCATAAGAGCTCCTCAATAGTAGTAATACTTTCCATATTTATAATAAATGATTGTGTGGTTTGCAGTCCTAAACGGGAAGACCAATGGGTTAGTCCTAATTATAGACTTTTTTCAATACAATAAATACTAAATAATATATTTCTATTACTAAGTGGAACCACATAATTATGGGTCGGGAGGCTCAACATAAAAACCAATGGACATCAATCAGTAGTTCCGATACACCCGAACTTATAGCTCAGAGTACAAATAGGTCGGTCAGACGGAGTGACAACAATACCGATTCCGGGGTCAATGTTCGGTCGCGAAATTGGGAGAAAAGTTATGCCAGACGACGGGATTTTGACCGCACCTGGAATGATAACCAACCGATTCGGGATCGATTTGTTGAAACCGAATGGGATGATGACGTCCCAGTTAGACATGTGTTCAGAGATAGTACCAGTGCTGTCGATGAGGGAAGTAGTCGGATAAGAATGGGAGACGACGTCAAAGTCGAAAGAATGTCTCGTGTGTGGACTCCTGGAGATGACGCTCCTATTGGTAACACTGGTCGCGACGGTGGCACCTCTTTTGTCAAGAGTTCCCGAAACAATAATAAATTAACTAATAATAATAATAAGCCAAAAACCAGTAGTTCGTTAAATAGCAATAATAACAATAATAATCAACAATCAAAAACAGACCGAACAGGAGATCGGGTGTTAAGTCTGAATTTTCAAGATCCCGAAGCTAAGAACCGGGACAAAGAAAGACTGGAAAAGTTGGCCAAAGAGATATTTGGTCCAATGGGTAATAACGATAATAAAGTAACAACTGCTAAGAGCAGTAATGGTAACTCGTTTGGTACGACATTCAGAAGTACGGGCTTTAACAGTGGTAACACTGGAATCACTACTTCCAGAAGTAATGGAAACTCGGGATCCGGTTTTGTCTCAAATGCCGTCAATAGTTTTACCAGAAGTCCTGGTAATTCATATGTGGCCGGCAATGGAAATGGTGTTTCGAGTTCAAGAGGTTCGACCAACAATTTTGGAATCACCCGAAACACAGCCACAGATAATAATAATAAAGCAAACATTGCGTCCAATCGGAACAACTTTGAATCGGTAAAACCCGTAAAGTTAAGTGTTTCAATGTTTGACAACACAACACCCAAACCGGACAAATCTACAAACACTATCAGATCTTCTTTCAATGCCATTCAACCGGTAGCTGAGAAACCCAAATCGGTAACCACACCGTCAACAGCCAATAATAACAAATTTGGTTGGCGTTCATCTATAAGTCACCAAAAAGATCAAAAACAACAACAAACACAAAGCCAAAGACTTCAGGACAGCACTGAAGAGCCAATTGATGACAATTTTGATGACATTGATAGCGATTTTGATGACGACCCGACTTCTACAACAGCGCGACCCACAAGAGGGCCCATTACAAGACCACCTACAGTAAGAACCACTGCCCGACCAATAACTATCAAAACTACAGTTAGGCCTACAATGAGGTCGTCGGTTGAATACACAACTTATAGACAAACAGAAACAACTCGACCACAAATATCGGCACCGGTGACCGCCAAACCAGTCACCACTAATCGAGAAACCACATTCACGACTACCAGTCGACCGAAAGTGAGTGTTCCCACTCCTAGTGATAATTTGGCGCCAAATAAGAAACAACACCGTATGGGCAGTTGGGTAGACAGCGAGACATTGGACTACGATATGGGAGATAACGATAATTTTGAAGACCCGCCATTCGATGACCGCTCGCCACCGGTGGACAATGGACTGGAACCACTAGTGGACGACGTGGACATTAGCAATGAGCGCACCGACAACACTCCAGACGCTCCGTTAGCCGAGGAGCCAAAGTTTGCTCGACAGTCTGCCGCCACCCGTGAGACTGAGGACGATCAGCCTGGTTGGCGACTGGAGGACGCATTGCCAGGCGTTCCCGGAACCGATTACCCGACATTCGGTGTAATTCCCCGAACAAACTTTGATTGCAAGAGTCAAACGTGGCCCGGATATTATGCGGACGTCGAAACACAGTGTCAGGTATGTGTCTGTCAATCATATTGTAAGCCCTATCCTCTCGATTTCAATTGTATGCAAAACACTTGTTTGTCTAGTCGTATAACAAAAGCTTAGTTCAAATCTCAGTTAACTGTATAGTAATTGTTTTATAATTTACTATCAAAGCAATACAAATATTTATAGTTTTCAACCTATAATATAATATAATTAAATAGTTATGATATTTGATATATTATGGTTATAGTGATTTAATTTTTAGAGTCAAGTTATTTAACTATTTTAATAAATATCAAAATTATTTATTACTAAGTTTTATAATTTTCTATAATAAATTTTAAAATAAATAAACATAAATTTAGTTTCTTTAAATAGCTATTATCAAAGTATTTTTTTGAAAAAGTTTATTTTAACGGAAAACTATAAACTTTTATTATTAATGCAGTTTTAAAAATTACATTAATTGCAACATAAGATTTATTTACAACGATAAAAACTTTTATATGATTACTAATTAAATTTAATTTGTATTGTAAAAGTCACTTTCACTTAAATTTATTAGTTACTAAAAAAGTTTTAAATTTTATAAAAATGAATTAATTGTTTTATTAAGTCTAATGTTTTTTAAACAAAAAATTTTCATTTCATTTCAATTACATTAGTTGTGATGGTATGCCCTACAGGTCTTGTCTTATATTACATATAAAATTGAGATTAAAATCTAAATCTATGTTTAAATCACAATAACAAAAATTGTTATTTGAATATAAGAGTTTCAGTATAATCTAATTGTTTTGTTTTGTGTCTTATATTTTAGTTTTAATAATAATTATAATCTCTTTCTAGCGATAAGTAGGTCTCACTCATCTCGTGTATAACAAATTGAATTAACGCTTTAAATACATAATTGTAGACATTTATAAGCAAATGACTTAAACAGTAATTAGTATTTAAAAGACAAACTCTCTCTCTCTCTCTCTCTCTCTCTCTCTCTCTCTCTCTCTCTCTCTCTCTCTCTCTCTCTCTCTACTATTCCCACAGTTTAATCTGTTGGACAGTTAGATAATCACTAGATTTTCATAGCCTCTGACCATTTTGTCAGATAATTTATTATACACTTTTTTGCACAAATAAAACCCATCAATTAAAGGTAAAACATTATAAAACTTTTATATATTATATGATATATACAGTATATATATATATTTAGACATTAAATGGTGTGAATTGTTATGTTGAGTGTGTGTTAAACGATTGTCACATAATTTATTTAGATATATATACTGTATATACTGTATATACTGTACAGCATATATACAATTGTATACACTATCGTTGATGATTATCTAAAATTTTTATAGTTGAACTAAATAAAAATAATAAAATAAATTAAATCACTTTTAATCACACAATATATTTAGCAAACATTAAGAACAGCATTTTAATTGTTAAGATTACTCATTACAAGTAAAAATACAACATTTATTAATCTGCAATTAAATCGTTGTTTTTTGTTGATAATTAAGATTGATTTTTTTTATTTGACATATAATTAAATGGACAGGTATTTCACATTTGTCAAACCGGTGGTCGCAAAAACTCGTTTCTCTGTCCAAATGGCACTATGTTTAACCAACAGGTGTTTGTATGCGATTGGTGGCATAATGTACAGGTATGTCATTTTTGTTAATATTTATAGACCATTTCAGTGTAATTAAGACTAATATACAGTTATATATATATATTATTTGACCATAAATTTGTCTATTTATTTATTTAAATATTTTTATGACAATCCAACTCCCAGTGCGGCGATAGTACCACACATTATGCGCTAAATGAGAACATCTATGACCACAACTGGGAATCGAAAAGAATCTCCAAATCCGAAACCGAAGTACCATTGAAAAGAAGTGGTGCACTCAAAGAGGCCGCAGAGGCCGATGACTTAACTACTACTATAGCTCCCACTGAGTCAGATGTGACCGATTTGGCTGATAATAAGGATGAGTCCGATACGGGATCTGATGATGGAGTGAATGATTTCAGAGTCGATGACGAAGAGGACGATAACGACGAACAGATGGGCAGAGCTACCAGAGTTAGACAACCAATTCGTTTATACAGAACATCCCGATATATACCAGCGTTGGATCGCCAGAAGCGTCGGCGAAGGAAAAGAGGATATTTAAAAGCTTAACTAAAAACAATTATTTATAATTTGTTTGTATAGTTATTATTATTATTATAATTATTATTATTATTGCTGTTTTTTTATTAATTATTATTATATAACTATTTTAAGTTAAATCACAAATATCACGATATCACACAAAAGCTCATTACCGATAATTAACTGATTTTTTAAAAAAAAAAGTTGTAATTAATTAATTAAGGAAATTAATTGTGTGTCTGAATATGTGTGCCTAACAATCACTGAACACAATAGTGTGGACACAATCATTATAAAAACAAAACAATTATCATTATTATTGTGTTTTTGTCCAAAAAAAAAATTTATGTGAACTACTTAAATTATGTTTAGCATTAAAAACTGAATCATAACTTTTTATTATAAAAAATTATATCATATTTTATTTATAATTTATTTTTACAATAATTCAAAATTATTGGTTTCCGTACTATAAAACATTTTTCTAAAATTTACACATCATTTGGGTTAATAAAATTAAAAATCCGTAATTTATTTTTTAGACTAAATTTTCTTTAACTATATTTTTAAAAAAATATATATAATATACAAAAAGTTCAATAATATCACAGTCTGGGTACTAAAATACATGTATAATACAGTACTACCAAACTTTAAACATTAACATTATTTTTATCCATATATTTGATATAATTCTTGTATATTTCCATTGTTTTGTCCGATATTTTTGTGGTTCCAGTTTTGCCTAATTCAATATACCGTTTATATTGATTGAGACTATTATTGGACACAATGGGAGGTTTAACCGAAAACGCTGTATCAGTGTATTCGTCTAAATTGTTCACTTGTTTTGTAGTCTTAGTCGACAATGTCGTCGATGACTCTCTGATCTCACCGGCATTTGTGCCAATACTTAGATAATTCTTATAGAGATCAATGTCTTTCTGAAGGGGTCTCTTGACTAACGAACCATAAATGTGGTCGGAATTCATTTTTATGATATGATTCGGCGATGGATGACTAGGCAGTGACTCTTCAGCCTCGGAATTATCGGTCCGAAAATTGGCGAAATCGTATCCATTATCGTCGTCATCGTCGGAATCACTTTCCAATTCACTGGCACTGCTAGATGCCGATGAAGTGGACGCCCGACCAGATACTGATGGATTAGGCGGTGGCGGTAATTTTGAACCACTTGAACCCATTAGTGATTCTCGACGTTTACCCGGTCTCTGTCTTACACTAAAAGGGCTGTAATCAGCGGTAAAGTTTGGCATAAAATCTTTGCAACTGTTAGGTATGTTAAACGACAACGAATCGGTAAATACAGTCAACTCGTATGGTCGGTATTGTTCGTAATAACCGTCTGTCCTTTCATCGACACCGATATCTCTTGTTAAACAAATAAGCGAATCTGGAGTTCCCTTTTTAAACTCCAGTGCAGACCTGGGCAATGCTCGTACAACTTCATCGCTCCACCATTTCGTGTAGTGTTTGCTATGACTACCGGCCAACTGTCTACCGGAAGCCAATGAGTTATGCAAATAAAAATCGGTATATAAGTCCCAAATTGACTGTCCTTTAATGGGTTGAAATACTCCGAGAAACAAATTCATAACATTTTGCTTTTCGGCGTCAGAAAAGGCATTACTATAATAACGGGAAAGTGTTTGCATTATATCTCTCGAGTGCGATGAAAGCGGTGCTATCTTTCGGTAAGTCTTAATGCGGTGCACTAATTGAGAGCCGCCGTACTGTAGGGCCAGAGTATCGCCGTGATCTTCATAGAGCTCTTCCAACATGCGAACGGTGTCCGATTCAAATTCCAGTTCGGGTTTCGGTAAAATTCCAAGAGAGTAGAGCTGAAAAGCTAGAGCTACCTTTCCCAATGCAAACTGAGCTGTATTAGTGCGGTCGAGACAGTCGACACAATTAACCCGAACAATACCGGTCTGCAATATACGGCCCGAATTGAGTCGATATCCACCGAGAGTTCGTTTGTCTTTCTGAATGAGAGATTTGTTCACCTCTTGGTTTAGTACAGTTAGTTTGCTTTGGAAAATACCGGTTTGTTTGAGCGTATAGTATGCTATTTCAGCCAATCTGGTCATTACATTGGCGTCTTTCAGTTTATTAACGCGGGCCATATCAAAGCCTATGTAATCGATTTGATGTTTTGGTGGCAAAAATTGGTTCAAATAGTTGACTGTATTTATAAATTCATTGCTTAAGACGCTTTCGTGTGGCTTTTGTTCCTTACGTTTAACTAAATTCAAACATATTATAGGAGAACCGTAATTATAAAACAATTGATTAAAGTGACGGCCGGCCACTGCATAAAACGGATCAATAATATCTAATTGAATGGTCGGTTTCGGTACCATTTTGGATATATCCTGTGACCAATATGACGGAATTGATCCACGCATTTGCACAAATGACGTATAGAAACCGTCTGTAAATGAAGAAATACTCGCGTCGTGTACTATCTGTTCGGTAACCACTTCGTTGGCCACATCGCCCTCGCAATTGGCGCCGCGTTTTAAAAAGCGAGTTCCGGCAAACTTCTTCGATCTTTTGGCAATAAGTGTCAAATGAATTGGTCGACCGAAAACACTGATATTGTTTTGGGCCACAAATCCGTGGCAAATGTAAAGAATCCAATCGGGATGTAAATCAAGATTCTGTAATAAATACTCATTCCATACGAACTTCCAGTTGGGTTTCGTGCGGACGCCTCCCGTATGGACTTCAAATTTATGAGTTAAATGATTGCTGTCCTCACCGGAACCCAAACCCAATTCCCAAATAGTCTTATCCTGTTTCTGATCACTGGTATCTGTGATACGATATTTGCGTAGAAGTGTTTCACTCATATTATACTGTAATGTATGGCTCAAGTCATAGGAATAGCTAAAGTAAAAATTGGACGACAGGTCAACATTTTGAAACAATTTATAATATTTTGTCTCTTCGTGATTGGATTTGTCCACTTCAGATGGTATGTACACCATCTGTGTGTCCTCTATCTTGTAGATCGAGTGATGGCCCAACTGAGCCACTCGTCGGCGTTTCGTAATTAATATTAAATAATATCCTTCAAGAAAGCGAACAAAGCCGACGATACCGAAGGCCGAAATGGTTCGGTTAAGACTCGACTGGTGGCTGGTCTTTGACGACCGGTTCCCGACATCGATCATTGCCAGCAATTGTCGTATCTCTTGTTGAGTGTATTCCAGTTTATCGTCGATGACATCGAGTTCTTTGCTAACCGTGCGGTCAATCTTCAGCACACGAAACCTGGTCTGTGTGTTGTTGGAGCCGATTATGAAGAGTCTCTACAGAAGAAACAAAAATACACTTTAGAAGAGATCAGATTAGATGGCAATACATTAATATCTTCACTCACGGCTTTGGTCTCATAGAGGGCTATCTTCTGAAGCCAACTGACAATCGGCACACAAGTGATTGTCTTACGATTATTTGTCTCACTATTTGAAGTCATTTTCAAAAACTAATAGGTCTTCAAAATCATCATTAAATGGTTAAATCAAATCACAATTACCACTCAATTGTCTGTCAAATTGCAATCAAATTATCGGTTAATGCAAACAATTGTCAAATAACTATACAAACAGTGATTTTTTTTTGAGTGACAAAACTAATCAACAAAAAAGTTTACAAACAAATTGCAAACTACAGCCAAATCCTACTATTGTTTACCACATGTGTGACAATAATATATTATTAGACAAATTATAATTAAAATAACTTTTATATTATATTATAAACATCATATTAATCCTAATAAATTGTATCAACCACATTTTTCATATATTATTTAAATTTTAAAAATAAACACAATTTTACATATTTTTAATTTAAAAAAAAAATAAATTTCTCACAACTTTTACTGTATATTAATACACAATATGTTTAGTCAATCGGTGGGAGTGTTGGCTATCGATTCAATTGTAAGTAAATTATAATTTCAAGTGTTTTTTCCAATGGTTAGACTCCGCCCACAAAACTATGGGTTAATATAATATGCGTTTGAATTGTATGAATGGTCTCCACTATTGATAGTATAATACTGTATATAACATATGAATACTGTATTGTCAACAACTAATGCACTATTTGTCCGCTAATTATCCGTTAATTTCAATACAAATTGACATTAAATACAAATTCAGGACTCAATCGCTATTTTTTTTTTAAAAAAAACATGTAATAAGTCTAAGAGATATCGATATTATTATTATTATTATTATTAGGCGATGACGTGACACGTATTGATAACAAAGAAGACCAAACAGTCGACAGTGAGTTAAGTCTATCTAACAGTTAGTTTATATGTTATAGTATTTGCTAAAAGGGCATAACTTAGTACTGATAAAACCGTATCATTTGACTAAAACAAACATTAATAAACACTTAATATATGGACGTCAATAACGTTGTGTAATATAAAAGTTATTTTCAATGATTTTAGTATTTATTTGATAATAATTTTAATTAATTTTAATGAAAATCACAAAAACTAATTCAATTGATTGGAAATTAATAGTAAATATTAGAAAAATGTTGTTATTATTACCGAAACGATTGGCAACTGTTGTTTTGATTGGTGAACGTAATTGTTTTTTGGGGGGAACTATATATCAGAGCACCGGTATGTAAGACAAGTGGCGGCACTTTCTGTGTTGTTCACCATTTTGGTTGTCATTGCCATCCATTGCATCCATTGTTCCGCCAAAAAAAACAGAGACAACATATCAGGTCAATAGCCGTCGTCAACATAAGTGTTGAGTCCAGTGAGACAGTGACCACATTGTCGTTGTTGTCTTTACCGCACGTGTGGCCACACCTGTCATCGACAGGCGATATATCGATACAAAAACAACTCATTGTTTGTACAAAAAGACGTGAAGAGCGCGACTTCGACGATGACATCGAGTTCTGGACCCAAGTTCGCCATCGGAGACCTGGTCTGGGCTAAGATGAAAGGCTTCAGTCCGTGGCCGGGAAGGATAGTGGACGGCTCGCAGACTAACTTGCGGTCACCAAAACCTCCGGGAAATTTGCGCCAAAAATCCATACAATGTGTGTATTTCTTCGGCAGCAATAACTTCGGTTGGATTCAAGAGGACGCCATCAAACCGTATACCGAATACAAAGAACAGAATTGCAAACTAAATAAGAGTCACGCATTTAAAGAGGCCATCGAAAAGATCGAGGAATTCATGAAAACAGGAGATCCAGCGCTGGCCGGAATCGTCAACTCAGGTACTCGTTTGTCTCAGACGGCCAGTGTTGCCAACACTGGTGTCACTTCTTCTTCTTCCGCTACCGATAAGAGTGCTGACAAACCAGAGACCGGACTAAAGAAGTCCTCTGAGGAGACCAAAGGTTTGCGAGACAGTTGTGTGAAAAAATGATTTACAGATCGCACCGTTTGATTGATTGAATGAATCGCTTTATTTTGTGTCCCGAAAAATAAACAAAAGCGTGCTTTGAGTTTAAATTGTCTTTTGTTTCGCTGTTTTTGGTCTTTGATTTGCTTTTTTTGGATTTAATTATCACTTCTTTGATAATATATTTAGTGATTTGTCGCACATTAACTGTTAACACTATAATAGTAAACTAGTCTATAATGTAGATGTCTTTTATTAAATTAAAGGTTCAAATCTTCCTTCGATAGATGAGGAAATTGCCACCATTTTCACGGGTAACAAGAGTGATGGCGAAGAGAAAAAGACGACAACCAACGCGACTACTACTCCCACTACTACACAACAGCGCGATTACAGCCGAACGCCGTTTGGAAAGTCTAAAGCGGGTAAAAAGGTATCGTCAACGCCGGCCAACGACGAGGACGTCCCGCCGCCACCGGCCAAACGCGCAAAGAGTTCGTCAATCGAAGAGAACACTAACTCATTGCCGGCTAAGTCACCGGCAAAAACAGCGGCCCGTAATATACTGAATAGACAGTCGCAGTATTTGCTTGACTCGAATAGCACTACAATCAATGATCAAACAGAAGTAGACATGAAGAACGTGTCGGCCAAGTCTAAGACTATACAGGCATCGAGTCTGAAGTTTGGTTTTATCGGCTTAGGACTGATGGGTCAGCGACTTCTCAAGAATTTATTAAACTCCGGACATCAGGTGACGATTTGGAACCGAACGCCCAGCAAATGCAAAGATTTTTTGAAAGCTGGCGCTGTTAAGGCCACGACACCTGCTGATGTGGTCGCCGCATCCGATATCGTATTTTCTTGTTTAGCTGATCCACATGCCGTCAAAGAGATTGTATTCGGCAATTGCGGTATTTTGGCCGAAATTCGTTCACCRAAAGGTTACGTCGAGATGACCACAATAGACGCCGACACTAGTAATGATATATCCGAAGCTATTTTGGCCAGAGGCGGTCGATTTCTTGAGGCGCCACTTATCGGTAGCGGTAAATTGCAGGCCGAAGAGGGAAATCTGACGGTTATTGCTTCGGGAGACAAGTCTTTGTTTGACGAATGCAATTCCTCTTTCCAAGCGATTAGTAAACACGCCTTCTATTTAGGCAGTCAAGTGGGCGACGCCTCCAAAATGAATTTGATTGTATCGATGCTGATCGGCAATCTGATTGGTTCACTCGCTGAGAGTATGGCACTGGCCGACCGAACCAATCTATCACAAAAAGATTTACTCGAAATCCTATCCATTTCTCCATTAAACTGCGCCACTTTAATCTCAAAGGGCAAGTCTATGATTGACGGCGGGTTTGCCACCGAAATGCCGTTGACTCACATGCAAAAAGACCTACGACTGGCACTACAGTTGGCCGAAGTCTATGAGCACCCGATCCCGATCACCGCTTCCACCAATGAAGTGTTTAAACACGCCAAACATCTTGGCTATAGTGAACACGATGTGGCGGCCGTCTACATCAGATCCCGGTTCTAACGGGACGAGCAAAAAGAGATGTATACACAATCACATACTCTCTCTCATCACTTGAACACAAATGTTATAATTTGACGAATAATTCATTAATACATTTGTTTTTTTTTCATTTTAATATATATATATATATATTATTTGAAATGTTTTGTTATAATTATCATAAATATAATCAAACATTTTTATCCGTAAAATCATTTTTTTAATACCAATGAAATGTAATGTCTTTTAAAAAAATAATTTCGGATAATTGACACATGAATTATATGGAAACTTATTTCTTGCTTATTTTCTATCATAATCGCTCTTTTAGTTATTATTATGTAATTTTGAAGTGACTGTTAATTTAAGTTTAGACATTAAAAAAATTAATATTAAATTATGTCATTAAACTATAGATTTTTATTTTATTTTTTAACAACAATATAATTGTTTGTTGGACTCGAAGTTTCTCTCTCTCTATATATATATATTGTTTTTCTTAACATTTGTATCACACACTACTGTATAACACACTTCATGATAATTACAAAATAATAGATGAATTTAATTGTATTATTTGTCCATTTATTTAAAAAATAATAATTATATGATTTTATTAAAAAAATATTTACTGGAGAAATACGAGATCCTATTTTTATTTTTTGCTTTATATTTATACATATATTTTTGTTGTAAAACGAAAAAAATTATTATCGATATTAATCTTTTTAAAAAAAATGTTTTTATTATTAAAGAAAATATTACATAAATTAAATTAAACTTTTTAGTTCAAAGCAGACAAATAAAATAAAATGGTTTTTAAAATGTAAATTATTATTGAATATTAATTTATTAGTGGTTTTATTATATACTGTATATCGATATAATTTATATGACTTATTAAAACCAATGAATGAATTATTAAGTGATGGGATATTTTTTAGGAGATATATTTTAGAGATGGTTTGGTTATTGCAATTGAATTATCAATTGATATCTCGATCTTTGAGTTCATTCTCATAATTGGTAATCTTTTTCAAGATTTCACTCAAATCTGTATCTTCAAAACGATTGCGATTACGATTGATTGGTGTACTTTCAGGTGAATTACTTCGTCGCCTTCTTCTGGTTGTAACAGTCAGTGCCGGTGCAGCAACTGATCCAATACTACTTTGCGAATCTGAATCAGGAGGCAATTGCGCAACTTCTTCGATAAGACAACAGGCGATTCTGACGCCAGAACTACCACTCGTCGAACTCAACGGACTGTTGGAGTTTCGACCGTAATCGTCGGCATTATTGTGAATCTTGAGATTGGATCAGATAGTTATTTATTTGTAACTCAATTTTTGATATTTATATCATATATAAAAAATTTATACTAACCACCAATGACTTSCCTATAATACTGTGTTCGCCCGACAGTGAAACGCCAATGTATGACATTTCCTGATCGATCTGACCATTTCGGTCACATCTAATATTGCCCAAATCGCCGACATGTCTGACCACATCGTACGGTCCGCCGTGTGTTAAGTTAAACGGATTGTAATGATCACCTACTGATTGACAATCACGCGACAAATTTCCCGATTCGTGAACATGAAATCCATGGCTGTGCGAGTAGCCAATAGGATGTCCATTACTGTCCTCCGGTTCCACTTCGACAGGCATTAGATTACTATCTCGTCGACGTCGTCTTGAGCTATGATGATCGTGATGTGATRATACTTTAAAGCCCTTCAATTTGATGTGCATATGCAGTGGTCCTCTATTGTGCCGGAGTTGCCACAGATTGATTGTGCCGACAATATCCTGTTGACTGAGAAGAGCTATGTGTCGGTTAGCTCTCATATAACAGGTGGCAAATATCAGATTTTCGGAGTTCAACGAGTTTTCCATATCATCGATCTTCCTCTGGTTATAGAGCGCTGGATCAATACGTTTGTTAATTTTGAATTTCTGTGTCGTCTCGTTAACCACCGTATAGTTCATGTTATGGCTGTGATGGATGTCGTGCAGCATATTGTCGAACCATTGCTTGAAATCTTTGTCCAATGACTGTATGGTTTCCACAGACTGTTTGGTAGCAGATGTATGCAAATCGTATGAATCAGCTATACTTTGATTAATCTTAACGTCGGAACCATTAATTCGGTTCACTTCAGTACTAGTCAGTAGCTGTTCTTTAGATAACTCCATTGAAGAGTTTTTATTATCTTTTTTATTGTCATCACTAGGGTTTCTGTTTAAATTGTGTTTCCTATGTGGATGATTGTGAATATGATGGTTATGCTGATGATGTCCATGATGTCCGCTACTGTTGTGATGGTTGAGATGTCTGTCTGAGTCATTTAAATTTTTTATTAAAGACTTTACAGTTGAACTGTCGTTACGACTATTGCTTTCAATGTCTGATTCACTGACAGATTCATCATTTTTATGATGAGAATCGGTGGTAGACTTATGGTTCATAAGTGCAATGTGTTTGAGTGCCTTCTGATGAAACATCATGTGTTGGTTAATGTGGGCAAACTCGGCGTGAAGTACTAGAAACGCCATATACAGGTCAGTCATATTTTTCCTGAGCTCCTGTATCTCTTTCTCGCACTTTTGAGAGCATACCTCTGCAGCCACTTTGATACTGTCCGTATTGGTTGTCTCAGATGTTCCCAAATCTACAACAAATATCTAATTAGTGTTATGTGAAAAAAGTTTCTGCAGATTCTTGTATCAGGAATTTTCTGCTCACCACTTGTTAGGTCCAGAATCGGATCATCGCTGATGTCTTTGACATCAATTGAACGACATTTCATGGAAAATAACAATAAAGTTAAGACCAAAATCCATACTAAATTCATTGTATCGTCAAATAAATAAAATGTTATTTAATTGCGAAAAAATTCACACAAACAACTCGTGTGATGATAACACAAGTCAATGAAATGTTGTTTTATATATAAAAAAATATTGAATACTAAAAAGTATATATGAAAAAAACTTTTTTTTTAAAAAAACACTAAATTAACTGTTTATCTATTATTTGCTATGAATTTTTGTTTCGTCGTCTTTAACAGCGATTTCAAACAGCAAATCACTGAAAAGCCAGAACTCCTCTCCTCTCCTGTCATGAGAAAGATGTGAACAAAAACAAAGTTCAAGAGTATTGAAGACCTGTTGATTATCTTCTCCTCTCTTGCTTTCCCTCTCTCTCTCTCTCTCTCTCTCTCTCTCTCTCTCTCTCTCTCTCTCTCTCTCTCTCTCTCTTCTTTCTTTCTTTCTTTCTTTCTCTTTCTCTTTCTCTTTTTCTTTCTCTGTCTTTACATATCAATCTTTATCTCAAATCGTTGTAATAAAAAGTTTTGACAATTAATGGTGAAGTCGAGTCAAAAGTCATAATATTAAGCAAACAACTGTTAGACTCTTCAACTTCTTATGGTTTGTAATCATAAACTGAATCATATCGTCTGAATGTACTTTATATAAACGCATATTTATTATATATAAATTTTATAATTTTTATGTATTAAACTTTATAATCAATTATATTAAATTTTAATACGCTGTATATTGAAAAAAATTGTTAAAAATATACTGTATATAAAAGTACCTGTATATTATAATATAAATTTATACGTACAATATAAGCACTGTATAAAATTTATAATTGACAACTACAGTACATATAAAACCTGATATAATATTAACAGTGAAAATTTGTTAAGTGATCAACCAATAAAATTGTTTTTAAAATTAAAAAAAAATCATAACAATTTTTGTTGAGTATCAAATATTTGCAAAATAGGCGCAAATGAAAAATAGTTTTTTTTAATGTTAAGTATGAATAATACAGGAAGATATGATATGAGATGTAAAAGTATTAAATTAAATTTATTTAAAAACAAAACTATTTTTTAAATATCAATATTTTGACATTACTCTAGTGTTTTCAGTAAAGTTTTATTTTTTTAGGTAATCAGTTTCAATGAAATTTTTAAAATATACAATATATAAATATATTTATATAATTTACAAGTTTATTAAACAAAATATTAAAGAAAACTTTTACGGTGTTATATGAAACTACAGTATAATTTTTACAGTAAATATTTATTTAGCTTTTATTTTCTTAACTAATAATTTTCAACAGTTATTTTGTTTACATTTTGATTTTCCTTAGCATTTGATTTTTAATTGCAATTTTATTTCATTGGGATTCCTCTTTCAAATATATAAATATAAACTCAAATATATTTTTGGCTATATTTGGAAATATTTTTTGTTTTAGTGTGTGTGYGTATGCTATCAATCAAAATGTTTTTTTTGTGCRCTTTTTTATACTGACAAACTCATGATTAAATAAAAATTATTTACTTTTTATATTAGGAGTGAGCAAACTGTCTCCTAGATTGACCAGATTGACACTACCGGATCTGAGAGCTAACTATTTATACAATACTCCTCAAAGGGGTTGACCGGTTGACAATGCGAATGACCCGGAAATAATAATCATATAATAGATATTACTGGTACTGTATTTTATGTTTGCATTGGTAATGATTTGGATTAACAATAATAATAAAATAATCATTATTATTTTTTTAAAAAAGTAATAATTTAATACTTTGTAATAATAATTTGTTTGTTAATATATATACTGTATACTGTAATGTTTGTATTCATATAATAATTTACTGTACAGTATAATACTATTATTGTGAAAATTATAAATTATTAAATAATAATTAAATATTTTTTTCTTGTTAATTATCCACACAAAATTGTTAACTATAGTTATAATGTATTTTTCGTTGAATTTAATAAAATAATAAATTTTCAAAATTTCATTTACTTATTAAAACTGATAGTATGATCGCACGAACATTGTTTTCATTTCATTTACTGTAAATAAATTTAAAAATCTAAAAATAACTAATTAAATGATAATCAATCAGTTATTTACTAAACAAACAAACCAAAAACACAAAATGTAATTACACTGTAGTTATTTAATCAACTAATTTATTATATCATATATTTTTCAGTAAATATTTATATATTTATAATTACAATCATATGTCTAATCAAACTACACATAAAAAGCACAGAAAACAAAAATTAATTAATTTTATTATTTATTTTAAAACTAATATAACAAATAAAATAAAACATATAACTATTTCTTGTCTTCAATTTGCCTCAAACCCGGTCTCCACTTCTGGATCTTATCTCTTGTGGTACTGTATGGCACATACTGTAGAGCAGTACCCGAATAGTTAGGCGTGTGATCGATCATCCATTTGTGCCGTACGGGCGGCTGAACACTGGGCGGTATATCAGTCGTATAGTGTAACCATTGGTGCCATTCGGCGGGTATCTGACTGGCGTCGTAGTCCAAGTGCGAGTCATCCGAGTAATAAACCCAACGATTGCGTCCGTGAAAGTACTCGTTATTCTCGTAGTATTTGTTGCCGAACTTATCGGTTCCGACCAATGTTCCCATCTTCAGGTCGTCCATCCTATCAATTAATTCAATTGAAAATTTCATTTTAATTTAATACATCTTTATGTTTAACTCATGAATATATACAATCATCATAACAACAACGTATGGATCAACTAATGGTGATATACCTGTAGAGTTTATAAACAGATCCAAAGATACCGCCATTCTGTCGGACAATTTGGATCAATCGCTGTAACTTTTCTAAGCCTAACCACTGGCCAATCGACGGCATGATTATCGACGGATACAAATCAATGGGTTTGTCCCGTCAAGTGATGGACTAATCAAWCAATGGATCCGATCGTAGAGTTTATGATATATTTTGTAAACAATTTATCAGAAAATATAATAAATAATAACAAACACAACAAATACTGTATTATATTAAAGACAACGATTGCCACTAATATTACATATCAATGACGTTCACTATGTCTATAGACTATAGGTTTAGTAATACTGTATTTAATACAAACTCTGTACTAAAGTATTACACATTATTTATGAATTATATTATACAATATTGAAGTAAATGTTATAATAGAGTAACCAAATAAATGTTTGGCTTATCCTGAATATGTCAACAAAACTAATTATTATTTTTATTTAATATATATAGGGTTAGATTAGATTCCTTCCCTCGTCTTATTTTCCAAAAGTTCCTTATATTCCTTCTTCCCTGGGAAGACTTCCTTGTGGTACCACATATCGAACCCTAACCTATATTACATCATGTTTTATTAAAAACACGTTTGTATAGTAAATGTCTACAAAATGTATTTAATGTTTCTATAACTACAGAAAAGCCACGTTTTTATTGTTTGTCTATCTATGGCCACTACTTGCCGTCGCCGACAACATCATAATCTTTATATCTATTGTATGTCTATCTGTATATCTATGGCCACAACTCGCCGTTGCCGACAACATAATCTGTATGTCTATCTGTATGTCTGTGGCCACTATTTGCCGTCGCCGACAACAACATAATCTGTATATCTATCTGTATGTCTATCTGTATATATGTGGCAACTATTCGCCGTCGCCGACAACATAATCTGTATGTCTCTATCCGTCTGTGGATACTACTCGCCGTAGCCGACAACACATAATAATCCTAAATTTGTCAAAACAAAACGTTTATATGAAAAACAATTTAAATATAATTTTGATGACATTCCTTTAAAATAAATAATTTTATATAATGTTTTTTGTTTTCATTTTTATTATTATTACATTTTAAAAATAATATCAGGCATTATCACTCAACTGAGGCATTATCACTGAATTTATTGTGTATAAGTATATTAATGAATTTCAATTTGATTATATGGTTGACTCAATTCAATAATCTCATGAATGTCTTCTTCAGAATTATTGATCTCATTCCACATTTTTAATTAAATTAATCACATAATTATAAATGTTGAACACTGTGTGATAATGCCATACAATGTTTGTGATAATACCACAGTATTACATGGCTTTTAAGTTATGTTCACATTATTGACACTCACATATTACAGTACAATTTTTTAAAAGTCATTGAGAGTAGGTCCTTTTTATGTATGACAAATTATATTTTCCCTTTCTAACGATCAAGGGAGGGAATATAATATATTTTCCATATTTTCCGGGAAAATTGGAGGGATTTTATTTGGGAACTCCCTTCCATGTGAATCTTAATCTAACTCTAAATATATATATATATATTATTGTTCACATCTATTGTGATTATCATATCTATTACTATATTATTACCGGTAATTATTATATCTATTTATTTATTATAWTTATAACAATTTTTGATTATAGTGATTAATTAAAATGTATTAAAAAGTAATTAAAATGATTAATCATTTAAAACTATAATAAATATTTCAATTATCAAGGATAAAACAAAAAYGATTTGGTCACTCATAAATATTATGCTAATATTGCACAATACTTTCTCATACATTATAATAGCACAACATTTAAATTTTTACTCTAAGTTTTAAATTTTATTCAATAATTTTTTACATTTAATAAAGTTTTAAGTTTTTTTTTAATAAAATCATTTTTATGTTTATTGTATGTATTATTTAATGAAATTAGATTCAAATTCTAAATATTGTATTATTATTATTATTATTGTTATACGATATCATAAATTGTAAGTTGTCWATTTTTATTTTAGCAATTATCATATAAACAATTAAATAATTCAACAAGTTACTATAAATTGATAATATATATGATTTATAATAATATATTATAATTGACCATTGTCATTATGATAATAGTAATTAAACTATATTTTGATTATTGAAAATGCAAATATTATAGTACAGTACAATAAACCATTAATTTGTTTTATTAAAATATATGTACTGTATTTGACCTATTTTTAAACTAAATCTATTAAATTAATATGACCATGCACATAATCTAGTGGTACATGTGATCTAAATTGTAAATTTAATATTTATTAAAATTTAACATTAATTGACACAAATTTTAAGCAATTAACATTATACATACAATACAGTATCATATTAAATGTGCTTGTTAATAATTAATTGACACGTGGTTAGTTCATGTTATATAATATCAATTGAATGCAATATAATACTGTATTAAATTATGTCTATTTATGTATTTGATTATACGATAAATTAATAAATAACAAATAAATATACTGTAGTGTTGTTTTGATTTGTCATTAATAATGATTATTAATAATTTTTAAATATCTAAAGTATAAGTAATACTTATTAAGTATATTTAAAGTTTAATATAAAAGTCTATTATAACTGCATAAACATCTACAGTATTAACAGGTTTTTTAGTTATCAAATATCTTAGAAAACTGAAAAATTGCAACTTTTTATTTACAACTAGTTTTTATTTTATGTTATTTGAAATTTTTTCATTGCAAATATATTAAATACTTTATAATACAGTAGTTATATCAGTATTATGTGAATCAATATTAATAGCGAGAAATTTAAATTTAATCAAAAATAAATATTTAATATTTTTGTTTATATAAAAATAATTTTGAAAATTGTTATCATTTTTTGTTTGTTCAGCCAAACAACTCATGAAAGTGTCAATTGAATTGCGATAAAAATGATTTAAAATTTTTAAAATCTTATCAAAATTGTGATAATAATATACATTTATAGTAGTATTTGTTTGTAAAATTATTTGTTGCACACATGATATCTATATTCTGTGGAAAAAATTAGTTTACTTTTACTTTTATACTATAATTTTAATTAATTTTTTTTATTATAAGATATTTGAAATTTTTATGAAATCAAAATATTTGAAATTTTCACAACAAATTGCTTTTATCATTCATACAAGTTATATACTGTATATATTGACTGACAGTTTATTTAAACATTATTTTGTTATTATTTTAATAGTTTTTTACATATAAAAAATTAATTGATCCCCGTGTAAATTATTATCAACAACAACAACAAAAATGTCAAAAACACATGAGTTATTGAGTGCCCTCAGGGAACGTATCCTATTAATCGACGGTGCGATGGGTACTATGATTCAGAGGCACCGTTTGGATGAATCCGACTATAGGGGCGATGAATTTACTGAACATATCCGTCCACTTAAAGGAAACAATGATATCTTAACGTTGACCAGACCTAACATTATCTATAATATACACTTTGAATATTTGAAAAGCGGTGCCGATATCATCGAAACAAATACATTCAGTGCCACAACAATAGCACAGGCAGACTACGAGTGCCAGCATCTGGCCTACAGACTGAATAAGGAGTCGGCAATCATCGCCCGAAAAGCATGTGACGACTATGGAAAGCAATTTGGTTGCACTAAATTTGTGGCCGGTTCTCTCGGACCAACCAATAAGACATTGTCTATATCACCGCAGGTCGAGAATCCGGCCTTTCGTAACATAACATGGGATGAATTGGTAACAGCTTATAGGGAACAAACAACGGGACTTCTAGATGGAGGTGTCGATCTCATACTTGTGGAGACCATCATTGATACGGCCAACTCTAAAGCCGCACTTTTTGCCATTCATTCAGTATTTGATGAGTTTCCGCACTTGAAAGTACCTATTTTTGTATCGGGAACTGTAGTGGACAAAAGTGGTCGAACATTGTCCGGTCAGACCGGCGAAGCATTTACAGTGAGTGTATCGCATGGAGAACCGCTGGCCATTGGTCTTAACTGTGCATTAGGTGCCGCAGAAATGCGAGTTTTTATTGAAAATATAAGTAAATATGCAGACAATCGATATGTATTGTGTTACCCGAACGCCGGTATTCCTAACGTTTTTGGCGAATACGACGAAACTCCCGAAGAAATGTGTAAACATATCAAAAGTTTTGCTGTCGACGGCTTAGTTAATATAGTGGGCGGTTGTTGCGGTACAACACCCGATCACATCAAACTATTTGCCGAAGCAGTCAAAGGTGTGAAACCACGTACAGTCAACCAATCACCACAAGACAGAATGTATTTATCAGGTTTGGAACCGTTTATCATAACTGACAACTCGTTATTTGTCAATATCGGCGAACGATGTAATGTCGCCGGCAGTCGATTGTTTGCCCGACTCATACGTCAAGCGAAATATAGTGAAGCACTAGAAATAGCAAAAGCTCAGGTAGAAAATGGTGCCCAAGTATTGGACATCAATATGGATGAGGGAATGTTGGACAGTAAGAAAGAAATGGCACACTTCTGTAATCTGATTGCCACTGAACCYGAGATTTGTAAAGTACCGATTTGTATAGATTCGTCTAACTTTGATGTGATTGTGGCCGGACTTAAGTGTAATCAGGGAAAGTGTATCGTCAACTCCATCAGTCTTAAAGAAGGCGAAGACGAGTTTGTCCGAAGAGCTAACCTTATAAAACGTTTCGGTGCGGCCGTTGTGGTGATGGCCTTTGATGAGAATGGACAGGCAGCCGAAGAGGTGGACAAAATCAAGATTTGTTGCCGAAGCTATCAGATATTAGTTGGTCCGCGAGTCAATTTCAACAGAAATGACATTATCTTCGACCCGAATATATTGACGATTGCCACCGGTATGGATGAACACAACGAGTATGGCATATATTTTATAAATGCCACCAAAAAGATCCGAGCCTTGTGTCCCGGTGCTAAAGTCAGTGGCGGAGTGTCCAATCTGTCCTTTTCATTCAGAGGAATGGAAAAAATCCGTGAATCAATGCATTCGGCTTTTTTGTTTCACGCCATTAAAGCTGGTCTCACAATGGGTATTGTGAACGCCGGCAATCTTCCTATGTATACTGACATTGAACCGGAACTTCTGGAACTGTGCGAAAATCTCATCTGGAATAAGGATCCTAACGGTACCGAAAAACTCTTAGAATACGCCCAGAAATATGGTAAAGACAGCAAAACAAATGTAGAGATCGAAGACTGGCGTAAAATGCCGGTCGAAGAAAGACTTTCACATTCAATAGTGAAAGGTATTGACGCTCACATCGAAAAAGATGTCGAAGAGTGTCGACTTAATCTCAGTGCTTATCCTCGACCGTTACACATCATTGAGGGTCCACTCATGAATGGTATTGGTATTGTCGGTGATTTGTTTGGTGAGGGAAAGATGTTTTTACCACAAGTGATCAAATCTGCCAGAGTTATGAAGAAAGCGGTCGCACATCTCATACCATTCATGGAGAAAGAACAAGAAGGTTCGGGAGGTCAAAATCATTCGGGAGTTATAGTGTTAGCCACTGTTAAGGGCGATGTTCACGATATCGGCAAAAATATAGTGGCCGTAGTATTGGGCTGTAATAACTATAAAGTGATTGATTTGGGTGTTATGACCCCCTGTGATCGTATCATTGAAGCCGCCATTGAAAACAAGGCCGATCTAATAGGTCTGAGCGGACTTATCACACCATCGCTCGATGAGATGATATTTGTGGCCAAAGAGCTACAACGACGCGACTTGAAAGTGCCTCTACTGATTGGCGGTGCGACCACTTCCCGAAAACATACCGCCGTCAAGATAGCTCCACGATATAATGAGCCAACTGTTCACGTATTAGACGCATCCAAAAGTGTTGTCGTGTGTTCAAGACTTTTGGATCAGAACTCAAGAGAAGAGTTTCTCGATGACCTATTCGATGATTACGAGATGCTTAGGGAAGACCATTACGATTCCATAAGAGATAGAGTTTATTTGCCGATTGAAAAGGCCAGACAACGCAAACTTCGGTTAAATTTCAAACAGTCGGACATACAAACGCCAAAATTTTTCGGTACTAAAAATTTCATTGATTATGATCTGAGAAAATTAGTTGAATATATTGATTGGAAACCATTTTTTGATGTCTGGCAACTGCGAGGAAAGTATCCCAACAGAGGATTTCCAAAGATATTCAATGATCAAACAGGTTTGTTCAGTAAATTAGTCAAATATCAGATGAATGTAATGATGTGAACAATGACTTTGTCTTACAGTTGGATCAGAAGCTAAACGAATATATGAAGAAGCGATGAAACTAATCGATGAGATTATTGATCAGCAACTTCTTCAGGCTCGTGGRATCATTGGTTTCTATAGAGCCAATACTGTCAATGACGATGAAATAGCCATTTTCGATGAAGACGGCAATCGTTTGACCACTTTTCACGGTCTCAGACAACAGGCAGAAAAGGACTCACACGACGACTCGTCCTACATATCACTCGCAGATTTTGTGGCACCCATTGAGAGCGGTATTACTGACTTTATTGGTCTGTTTGTTGTCAGCGCCGGCTTTGGCTGTCAGGCAATGTGTGAACAGTTTAAAAGAGATAATGACGATTATAAAGATATTATGATGAAAGCCATCGCCGACCGGTTCGCTGAAGCATTTGCTGAAGAAATGCATGAAAGAGTGCGCAAAGAGTTTTGGGGTTACGGTTGTGATGAAGAGTTTGAAACAAATGATTTACTTAAAGTCAAATACGACGGCATAAGACCGGCTCCGGGTTATCCCAGTCAACCGGATCATACAGAAAAGGAAACCATGTGGCGGCTTATGGATGTCGAGCGGCAAACGGGTATACAATTGACTGAATCGTTGGCCATAATGCCGGCTGCGTCCACGTGTGGCATATATTTTGCACACCCGAAATCATACTATTTTGCTGTCGGAAAGATACAGTCGGATCAGATCAAGGATTACGCCAATCGAAAGGGACAGCCGATAGAAACAATAGAGAAATGGTTGAGTCCTATATTAGCCTACGATGTGGACGACAAATAATTTTTACCTCATTTTTTTAAGTTAATTAATTTTATATACATTAAAATAAATTATCAAAAAAACGTTAAATATAATGTTAATTTATAATTTAATTTTATTTCTCTTTTAAAAAAATGAAAATAAAATCACTAATAAAAACAAATATTATTTACATTTAAATTAGATAAATAATGCGGTAATTAACCAAATTGTAGTCAATCAAAGATTATAAATATAAATAAAATAATTAAATAAAATAATAATTAAAAATATGACTAAATAGAAACTAATATAACAAAATGTAGAGAATTTAAAACATAAAATAATAGCCACAAAAAACATTCAAAACATAGACAGAAATCTTAACAAAATAACTATTTTAAGGCCATTAATGGTCAGCGAGAGTGAGGAAACAGTCCATCACTTAATGGCCAGTATTATTGAGGCTATTGTTGGATTTGAACTGATAATTCATGGCATTCGTGGCAGTGATGGCTGCTGACGATGACTTGGCCTTTCGACCACGATTTCTACGACCAGAATTTCCAGATTTATTTACAGAATCAATACCACTGACACTTCCGACGTTACCACATGTCAGGTCAATGTTGGACATCTTGTGTTTGATGTCGTAATCAAAGCCAAAGTGATCTCTGACCTCAAACCTGGATCCGGACGACGCAGACTGTTTGGTCTGTCGTTGATTCCAATTGTGATCTCTTTTCTTTTGTTCGCTTTTACGAAACACTTTGACAGACTCGTCGATGAATTCCATTTGTCTTTCGAGAAACTTGTGAAACAAGTGATTCTTGTGGTGAAACATGTCTTCACTGAGAGGAAACTTGAATTGAAAGATGTCTTTCGAGTAGCGAATAGAGTTGACTATACGTGTAATTCTGTTCATTACCATCTCGTTGATGAAAACACCGGTCAAGTCATTGATTGGCAATTTGTTTGCATAGAAAGAGCTATTCACGTAAACCGGTTGACAATATTTGGGCACAATATCAAAGTACAGATGAATTTCGCCGATATGTAAAACCAATTGTCGGCCATCAATATTGGACACCGAATCGCCGGCAGATATCGGCGTCTCTTTTCTTTCTCCCGTTTGAATCATTGTATCGGAAGCGACAAACAAATTGTATCGCATTCGCCATCTCTGGTAATAGTTTACCGTTGAGGTATAGAAGCGCGGATACCGATCGTTAATCAGTGAACACAATAACAGACAATCGGAACTGTTTAGTGACGATAACTTTACTTCAAAATAGTTGTGCAAATCTTTCAATTGGACCAAACGTTTCTGAGAGCCGGTAATCCTATCAAATATGCCGACACTTTCGCCCCATTTCTCTAACAAACGATTCACATCTTTATTCTTATTCCACGCCTTTTTAGATCTATTGTTTGGCGCCATTTTTGGTGAGGAACAGCTGGAATCGCTGTCCATTATCTGTAAATCATACCAATCATTGCGAACCCTTGGCTGCCAATTCTCAGTAATCTTGATGTCATAGTCTTCATTAAGTCTAAAAAAAATAAATTTAATTTTAACACAATTTTAAATTTAAATACAATTCATTTTTTTCAATCATACAACTGATTGTCGTCAACGGTGTCCGCCCAAAGACACTGCTTTTTAACAATAATAGTATTATCGTTACGATTGTTGTCATCTTCAACGACAACTTGACTGTCATCGACGACTCGTTCACATTCTTTAAAATCATCAGAAGTCTCGCTATTCAATGACACAGATGTGCTCAACGACGAAGACAACGACTGGCGGACATCATCTTCATTGGCGGTCAACTTCTTGACAAATATTCGATTGACTAAACAGAGACAAAACGTTAATAAATTGCATACCATTTGTGACCAATTGTCTGCATCTGATGGAAACAATCGATTCCACAATTTCGTACATTTATCTTTAAAACTGGAGATAAAATTCATATTTTTTTTAAAAACTCAATTAATTGGTTGATATTTCAACTTCAGAGAGAAATTCATTAAAAAAAAACTAAAACCACAAAATAATTAATTAATTTTTTAAAAAAAGCAAAGAATAGTTGCGACAAATAATAATGAATCAGTGAATCAATCAATCAAWCAAACAGACGGTCAGTCAGTCAAACAAACGGACAGAATATTCGTTGGAAAAAAAGTGTAACAAATATTTRAATTAAATTCTCGTTTTATCAAACACTTTGAAAATCACAATTGAATTGTTAGGATAACAAACAATTTGATTCAATTCCGTTAAATCAGTCGTTAAATCAATTCAAACACACAATACTACACATCAATGACAAGAATTTGAAAAAGAAGACAAAATAGTAAAATATAATAATTTGTTTAACAGTTTCCTCTCTCTCTCGTGAAGATATAGTTATTAATATATTAATTATGAATTGACGTCCACTTCACACATGGATATACAGAAAATAAATAAATATAACAAAAATTATTATTTTATTTTAATTGTTGTAAATTATGACTAAACAAAAATTATAACCATTTTATTTGCGGAACAAATCCAGTGATAAATTCAATTATAATATAAATTGTATTCAATTTGAAAACAACATTCAAATATAGCGCCAAACAGTTTGTGTGAACAATGTGTTTGACTGAGTGTTGCGTTGGAGTCGACCACTGATTGGCTAAGAGTTGGTATGCCTTCAGAAAAGTAGTCGTATTTTGATTTTGTGCTCAAATCAAGTGTTTGTCTTTTGCTATGCTTTTAGTGTCAAAAGTGGTCACATATATAGTGTGACTGTATTACTGTCCGCACATACACTTACACAACAGTTAGTACCGAAACYAAACACACGATTCGTTTGGACAAACAGTTTGCGGACAATCAAAGTGATGGTCGGCAGTCGTGTTTCGTCGCGGATCGCGTCGCGCATAGCCATCAAACAGGAACAACAGGATCCCATCGATGACTATCATCACCAGAGTCCGGGTGGTGGTAGTGGCGGAGGTGTAGGCGCACACCCGATGGTCAATCATCGTAGCAATAGTTCGTATAGAAATCACCCGACGGCCAGCGAGACTACACCGAAGAAACAAAGGCGTACATTAATCACGTCTTCGCCCTCTTCTGTTGAAGAAGACGACGTGTTTGATAATAATTCTGTGGATGATATCGACGATTTTGATGACGACGATGAAGACGAAATCATTGTGGCCAACAATCGTCGATCAGTTCCTCGACACAAACGCTTCAGCGGTGGAACTCATCGCCAGAAACGAGCCGACAGTGAGTTAGATTCGGCGCGCAATAAGTTGGGCGATCTGTTGGCCCACATATCTAAAGGCGACTCACAAGAAGATGACGAGTTCGATGACGAAGACGGAGAAACTGATTCATCACCTCATCTAAAGAGACGACGATCTCATAAACACAAGAAGTAAATATAGCTGCACTGGAAGTGTTGAACTTATTATATTAACCGATGTTTTGTTGATTTTCTGTAGACCCGGGAAAACGATTAAAGAAGAATCTTACGGCAAGACATCTACGTTTGTTTTAAAGCTATTCGACCGCAGCGTTGATTTGGCGCAATTTAGTCACAATAACGCTCGAGAGGACGCTCCGTTATACCCGGTGTGCAGGGCGTGGATCAGAAACAACACTCAACTACCAAATCTGTATGAATCCCCCGAACCCGAAGAGTACACCGACGAAGACTTGGAGCCAAGTGGCGGACCGATCGATGAAAAACCATCCGGTATTTATCATTTGCCAAAACCGTTGCCGCGACCGGTGGACGAGTCGGGCATTGAAATCGATTTGCGAATACCAGAATCGGTGCGCAACTATAAGAAACCGGAGATATCGCAAGCGGACACAGCCATCAATAGTCTGGTCACCGATAATTTCAGTACATTGTTGGCTAAAAATATGACTCATTGGAAGAAAGTGCGACAAGAATGGCAACAGTCGTCTCTCGACAATGAGTTGCGATACAAACACAGCTGTGATGTTCTCAAAGCTATGTTTGAAAAGTATATGAAAACTCAAACCACTCTTTGACTGACCATTGATTTGATATTAATTATCACTATTTGTTTCATTTGTATTTACAGGACAATGAATGGACAACCGGAACAGTTCAAACCTCAAACTATGGACACATTATAAGTTCATAAAATGTATGATTGAAATATAAAGTAATTATTATTATATTATAATAATTGTATTATAATTTTTAAATAATTTATTTAAATATTTGTTTTTTTTGTAACAATAGGAATGGAAGACTTGAAAGTGTGTTAAAAAGTTTTGTTTTAGTTATTGTTTTTTAATATATTTGTAACTTATATACTAAATGTAAAAAACTTTTTAACCTCATCTTTCAATTCACCGAAAATTTTAAATTATAATTAGACGCTAATTAAATGCACAAAATTACATATATTTTTATTATTTTTTAATTTGTATCGACAAATGTATTATATATAGATTATTACAAAATTATTATATTTACTATTTGTTTCATTAAATATGTGCTATAATTATTAAAAAAAATAAAATAATATAAAATAAATTTTTTTACAATTATTATAAAGTACAATATAATAACTATCTTTTTAATTTTCATAAATTTTATAATTATTTTTTGAAAATAATATAAATTTTTTTATTACTTAATACTCTGTATTAAATGAAAAATTTACGAAAATTATATTATTATTATTTTTTAATTAAAATAACATTTAATTAATTAACTTTTAAAATATATATATAATTAGCGGTAAATCATTTAAAAATTGAAAGTGCATTATAAAAGTTGCAGTCATTTAAAATGATGTTACAAATTAAAAGGGGCGTTAAGTTTATCTAAAAAGTATATTAATATATAAATTTATACAGTACTACACACTATAGGGGGCTATAGGGGTCACAAAGTTTACAATTTTTGTGACACAATATTTTGTATTCAATAACAAAATATCGCACATAAAGTGTGATATAGTTTTTGTAGACAAATGTTTTGCCCCTAAAAACTAATGCTTTTAATAATTATTATGAAATAAATGTTGAATTTCACTAATAATACAATAATAAAAACCCAATAACTAATTGTAACGTTGTTTGTGTGTGAGTCTAGTCTTCACGTTTGTGTTGACCTTAACTGAGAACTGAAGACTTGTAAACAGTTTTTGCTGTCTTTCTCTCTCTGTTTAACCGCACGGGGTTTGGACACCGATATTGTGACCGCGACTGTCTCTCGACCATTGGATATGGGCATCAATTCAAGTACCCGTCGGGTTACTATTGTTAACGATAACCAATCGGGAGTGATTCGGGTAAGTGTTGTATTTTTTCTGTGTGACCACCGATTGCATCATTGCATCAGATTTGTATTGATCTCATGCTTTTGTTGGTGTTTTTAACCGCAGATATCGGAATCGGTGGTCAAAAAGATAAGTCAACAACAACCACAACGAGAAGAAAACCGTTTGCCGGCCGCCTCTCAGGACAACCAAAGAGTTTCGCAATCACTTCCACCACCGCAGCAACAAATACCGCAGCAAACTCTGCCAAACATTAGTGACTTATCGGTAATTATAATTGATATGAAAAAGTGTTGTTATATTTATGTAATAATTACTTTAACGTCTAATACTAATCGATTGGTATATACTGTATGTGTATATAATATGTATAGCGAAACAACCAATTTTTATCCGGTTCTTACGCAACACGACAGGAGTACGAGGAAGAGGTCCAGCGATTGGAGAAGACATGGAAAGGACAGATCAGTGAACTACAGAAACAAAATAGACAATTGTGGTCAACGGCCAACAGTAAACTGGATACCAATATCACRGAAACAGAGACCAGAATTAATAAAACAAGAGGTGAACCAATTTGTCGACAACAGGAGAGATCAGTTGTCGACTGTTATCAATCGCATCGTTCGCAGCCATTGAAGTGCTCTCAAGATGTGCGAAATTTTGTCAGTTGTGTCCAAGATGTACGTCGAGGTGTACTCAATAGAAATGGTTGATAATAATTATGGCTATAAATAGCGTGACATTGTCTTTCATCAAGCATTTGATGTATTGATTGACACAAAAAATTTCTAATTGCTATATCTATGGATAGCAACTTTGATTTAAAAGAAAAATTATTTAGTAAATATGTGAAAAAATTGTTATTGTATTTGACACCAATTTTACTTAAAAAATAATACAAAATGATTATTGTTTTTTTAGTCATAACTTCAGTTATTTATGTAATGATTTATATATTAATTTAATTTATGAATAATTTAGATAATGAAAATGATAAATTATAATATATCTTATTATATTATAAAATGCTTAGTTTTTAATAAAATTATATATACATATATCTACACATTAATTACATTTTTAGATTCTTTTTATTTATTTTTAAAAAATGGTTTTATAAATATATATATATATACAGTATATATGTGATACAAATCCTAATATTTAAAACTTTTTGCAATTTAATCTTATATTGCATTGATAAATACTATATAAAATAACAAAAGGATATTAACAAAAAATAATTGCAATATATTATCATATATTATGTATTAACTGTAGTTTAAATCTCTTAAATTATGGAAATGAGTTTTTTATTTGACTTCAGTTCCGTTATTTTATAGGATTATAAATAGTAGTGATAAATAAGTCGACTTATACTCTATAAAACTAACGGTAATTGTTATAAATAAATAAGGAAATACAGTATTATAATGATAGAGTTTATAAATATTACGATAGTGATCAGTGATCACCCAATATTATATCACCTAAAATACTACAGTATACTAAAAATATGATAATCCAATTACGGTAATATAAATGTAGATTCATATATATATATATACAATATAAAAATCGATAAACAATAAGAATATTCTCGATGTCAATGCATTATAATTAAATTAATGACAATTTTATTTAAAACATTAACAAATTAATAATATGATTATAAAAAAATAAAGCAACTAATAATTARTTAAAACGACTATTAATAAAAAAATTATTAGCGATGCTTTTAATTAAATATGTTTATTAAAAATTTACTGTGCCCTACATAAGATAATTTTTAAATATATTTACTTACATAATAATGTGTATTTTCGTTTTTTAAATGCTATAGTGAAACCCTTAAATGTTTTTCTAGTAAATTAATATCATAATAAATATAAAGACATAATCAGTAAATAATTAAACTATAGGTGCTGTAAATTAAATTTGTTAATCAGCAGCTGTTAGTCAGCAAATAAACTCATTATATACACATACAGTACATATATTTATACCGTATATTTAGATGTTGTGTGTGTGTGTGTGTGTGTGTCTGGTTGGCAATTGTTGAGCACATCCTTTTAAAACATATTAATAACTGAATGCACAGTTAGTTGACACCCAACCAACCAAATTGATAATAATCAACATTTCTAAACACATGTGTTTGAATTAAAACTATCATTACATTTCCACTTATTTAATCATCAAGCAAATAGTTAATGAAAAATAAAATAAAAACTAATTTTAATAACAACACGTAATGATGTTCACTGCATATACAGTACAGTATTATAATAATAATATATTTTATATTATATATTAAAAAAAACTTTTCTAATTTACATAAGAGTTGATTTTAACTAAAAATTGTGTAACAATTTAATAATTATTTTGATGAGAATAATTGTGTGGATATAATCCAACAGTTTTTAAGTATTGAAAATTATGAGTAAATGGTTTGACATACAGTTAAATGACACTAATAGTTGTTATAATAGCAATAATAATACTAACATTACTAATGATATTAATTGTGTTAATAATTATGAATCTCAAGTGATTCAAACAAACAACAGTATTAATAATAATACTAATAATAATAATTACAATTATAATAACATAACTAATTGTGACAATAATAATAACAATGATATTAACGCAAATTATAGTAAGGGTTGCGCTGATAGTAGTAGTAGTAGTAAAAGATATGTATCATTAAATCCGATTCTGGGTGTCAACACCATCAGCAATGGCACTCAAACAGATGGAAACGACAAGARGGATGAGATCAGTAATGATGATAATAATAATAATAAGTCAATAATCTTGAGATTAAACACAAAAGACATTAGGACTACAATAGCAACTTCTCCTCCTTTATCGCCAAATTCATCGACAATTGATAGTCCCATTGACTTTGATTGGCATCCATTGAAACGTCTAAAAGATCGTCGGATTAGTTCACTGGTTGAAGAGCTKCTCAATGATATCTACTGTAATCGTGATGTGAATTATAAAAGAAATCTAAGCATCAGCTCTGATACTAGTAATTATTCACCGCCTGATTACCAAATAAAACCYAAATATAAAGATATCTATTTGAAAGTTAAAGGTATTACATATTACTTACTATTACTTTCCTTAAACTTCATAAGCCTWACAATCATTTATAATATAACCAAAAAACARATTACAAGAAATAAATTATAAAAACAACTGCTTTAATGTTATTATTGTCTTACAATATAATTGATATAATATTTGCCAGTAATTGATCGATAATATACTTTTCTAATAGRCTTTTCTTATACWTAAAATCTTTTATTAATAATCCCAATATTTAGTCCACAAAATATTTGAACATTCATTCACTTTATTCATTAGCACCGGTAGACTATTCTTTTGTTTTTATTTCMATATTTTTTACTACCAGTGCTCTCATAAGTATTGTAAAGATGTTTTATTTTGTTTTATTTTTGGCTAAAGACARACAATAATAATAAAAAATAYATATAACTTAATAACAAAATAATATACATTAGTGTCATATGATGATAGACAACACAAAAAACAAAAAATTGTTTATAAGCTTAATTATCCTGTGTTTCAATTACATTAGCACTGGGATCATCATCATYGTWGGAGATATAGGGGCTATTATAATTGACTTTGACATTAAATTACAGTAGAAATTGTTATTTTTGTTTGTTTGTTCAAATTGTCKAAAAAAACTAACTTATAATACAATAAAAATATTGATTTTGTCATCAAATTTAAGTATAATATGTATATTTATATATTGTTTTTTTTGTTGTTATAAATACTGGACAAGTTTTAATACAATCTTATAGCTAATGGACAAACTTTTTTGTTGTTTCTTTAATTTATTATAGTTTATTAATAATAATTTTATTCATTAAACAACATGTGCTTAAAATACATCAAATAAAATGTTAATTTAAATAGTTTACAAAYATATAAMAATTAGTTTTATATACTGTATATATCAGGGTTGCTAAAGGTTTTTGATTTCAGGGGGGTACAGGGGGAGGTAAAATGGCAAAATTTTCGAAAAAGCTTGGGGGGGGGTATAGGGGGGGGGGGGGTGAACATTTTTTATTGCATTTTTAAACGACAATTTTTGCCAAATTTGAGTAAATTCCCATTAAATTCCCACTAAATTCCCATTAAATTCCCATTAAATTCCCACTAAATTCCCACTAAATTCCTACTAAATTCCCAATAAATTCCCACTAAATTCCCACTAAATTCCCAATAAATTCCCACTAAATTCCCAATAAATTCCCACTAAATTCCCAACAAATTCTCAATAAATTCCCATGAAATTCCCATGAAATTCCCATGAAATTCCAAATAAATTCCAAATAAGTTCCAACTAAATTCCAACTAAATTCCCAATAAATTAACTAATAAAAATATTCTCAACTTAATTTCTCAATACTCAAAATGATTTCTAAATATTAATAATTGCATAAATATATATATAACTATTATAATTATTAAATAAAATTATTATTTAGTTTTTAAAAAATAGTTATTAATTAAAAAATTAATGATATAGTACTGTGTTTATTTATTATAACGTTTTAATAATAATAATAATAAAAATAAAATTGGCAGAAATAATTATTAATTAGTTCTAAATAATTAATTTAATTTAAGAATATATATTTTTATAGTATTTTATATTGAACCATAACTAACACAATTTAATATAAAGATTCTAAATTCCCACTAATTCCTTATAAATCCCCACTATATTCCCACTAATTTTTAAAAATTCATTTTAATTAAAAAATTAATGCTATAGTACTGTATTTATTATAACGTCTTAATAATAATATTGTCAGAAATAATTATTAAATAACTCTAAATAATTAATGTAAGAATATTTTTTTATATAATATTTCATATTGAACTATAACTAACACATTTTAATATAAAGTTTAAAAACATAGGTTAAAATATTAAAATTTATGCTAAAAATTTGTTTTCAACTTTTAATATGAAATAATATATATATATTATCATTTATAAAGAGTTAAAAAATAAAAAAATATATTTCATTATTTTTTTAATTGGTGGGAATTTATTTGGGAGCTTTTTCCCTTGTGGAGTGCCCCAACTCTATTTATGTAACATTTAGTTAATATCATAATTATTATTTTTAAATCACATAACTAACACATTTTAATATAAAATTTAAAAATATTAAAATATAATTATTTTAAAATTTATACTAAAAATTTTAGTTTTTGACTTTTAATAAGAAATAAAATATATCTTTTATAAACAGCTAAAAAATAAAATAAAACATTATCATTAATTTATTTGAAAATTGGTGGGAATTTATTTTTTAGCTTGTGGAGTGCCCCAACTAGTGTAAATAATGTTAAATTGATGTAATTGAGTATTTTTATCTATTTATTTTCTATACATAAGCTATTAATTTATATTAAAACAAATTTAATATTTGTTTTTTTGTTTAATATAAAATTTTACATAGTTGAAAAAATTTTCGGCGCCTTATATTGGTAGGGGGCCCCCTAACTTTTTGGCTTTAGGCCAGGGGGGGTAAAAGCCAAAATTTTTCCATCTCAGGGGGGGTAAGACGTCTTACCCCCCCTACCCCCCCCCCCCTTTAGCAACCCTGGTATATATATTATATATATATGTTATATCTATTTACTCCCGATTACAGGAGTGACCGAATTGAAGCAGATGTGCGACAATCTTAACGAAAATGTCATTCGCATGAATACACTGTTATTACATCATCTGAGAAGACGGGACCGACTGTCCACACAAATGGGTCAGTACTACGATATCATTACTGCAGCTCTTCAGGCAATATCACCTAAAAGAAGTAAGTGATTGTCTGTCTTATATCATATCATTAGCTAAWAATTGATTTTTGTTGTCAATTGTCTCTTTCTATCCTTTTTTTTGCTGATTATATTATTTGATATAATATYATACTGTATACCGTATACAGTACTGTAGTTTTTTTGTGTTTATGTGTCGGTACCACCTAAATGGTATATCCTATCAAAARCCRTATAATCCTTAATGAGCCTAAAAAGGCATGAATTCAAGTGAAGAAAATGTTGTGTATATACTGTATATATATAGATATATAATAATAGTATCCTTAATATGAATGCATTGATCATATTTATCTAATATAAGGTTTCGGTTTAATAATATACKGCTTTTGTCTTACTTTTWTTATTATTATTATTTTTTGGGTACAATATTACTGCAACTACTCTATAGTTAATGTCATAAACACATTACTAATATTATATTATTATTTTATATCACGTCTGAAGCCAATCAACGACAGTATGTTTTCATTTCATTTTAATACTAATAATATATCGCTAGATATATAATTTATATATGAATCATATAATATGATATATTTAATATTTTAATGGATACAATATCTGTATWTATATTATAATTTTTTTTACWAAAAAAACATATTTATTTTATGTATTATTTAATGATATTTTTAAAATTTATTTTAMATGACTTTATGTTATTTTTTATAAAACAAAGTTTGCTTTTTAAAAAAACGATATTAAAAACTAGCTTGTTATTGTTAATAGTTTTTTAAAAATAATACTGTAAATAATTTTAATTTTTTTATTTAGAAAAAGTTTTTTTTATTATTAAAAAACTTTTCAATAAACTCTAATGATATTTTCAATAATATTTATAAATATTAGTTTTTATCGATTTTTTCAAATAAACTAATGCTACGATATATATCAATATATATATATATATATATATATTTAATATATATTTTTGGTTATCGTTATTATTGCAATTTTTATTTATTAAAAAAAACTTCTAATCATAAGCTAAATATAAAATCTTTTATTTCTTTTTTGTTGTTGAAATCCTATTTAAAAATACTTTGATTCATTGCTYATACATATAAATAAGTTAAACAAAAAAAATTCAAAAGCGATTTATTCTATTTTTTTTATTTAAAAAATAAGGATTCAAAGTATTATTAGTTTTTTGTTATACAGAATATTATTGTTATAATAGAAAACTTTGAATAAATTTTATTTCATTGTTTATCATTATTGTTATATTCATTTTACACTAAAAGTTATGCACACAAAAAATTTTACATAAAATAATACTAATATATAWRTATWTATATATATTTWTGTTTTTTTTTTGTGTGCAATATTTGAACAAATATTTCTTCATTTAAATTGTTTCAATGTTTATCATTGTATCACAAATACTGTGTATATAAAAATAAAAATATACTGTTTATACACAATATATTGTCAACAAAATTTGACATTATTTTATATTTGATTTTGATTTATTGGGTATAAAATTTAATCTTGAATAAAAAAATGTTTTCTGCTTGTTACATTTAGCAATAAATTATATCATTAAGTTTATGTCGACTATTGTGTGTGAAAACAATTGTTAGGGTTTTTTATAATATATAACTTAATTGCTCTTAAATTATTATATTCAGTATAAAATATAGTAATATCACATTTCAATGCATTAACAGTTTTAACACTAGTATTATATTTTYCAACGAAAAAATGTTTGATTACTGTTAGGGTTYRGGAAATTTTCCTCCTTTTTTGTTTCCAAAAGTTCTCTATTTTTCATACTCCCTGAGAATTCCCAGRGAATCTCATCATTCATTGTRCGACAACCTATTGAACTCTAAAACAACAAATTTTATTATAAGATTTGAATAACAAATGTTGTATTAAACTGTAGTTTAATAGTAATAGTTAAATATTATTAAATTTATTGAATTCAATTTGATTTTTAAATATTTCAYACACGTCATGAAATTTTATGCAAAATATTTAATTTTTTTTGATACAATTTATTGTAAAAATATAAAATATATTTTCCTTTCTAACGATGAAGRAAAGTAAARAAAATAAAATATTTTCTTTATTTTCAYGAAAATTGGAATGATTTTATTAGGGAATTTCCTTTGCTTGGAAAGTTTTCCGAACCCTAATTACTGTATAGAAATTTATATCTATAAGAAAAACACTGTAAATAATCTCTGATACGATAAATCAAAGTAAATGCCAAAGAGATTAGAGATAGATATTAYATACCCGTTATCTGAAAGCTCCGGGCAGTCAAATGTGGATTAAAAATATTTAGCTATAATCTTGCGGTACCGTTAAGTTTTTTTCAACAATACTAACACTAACAACTAAATATTTTTTTGGTCCCTATTGTGTAATATTTGACATTTGATGTAAACAATATATATATAATATTACACGAAAAATATGTGTTAGTATTATCAATATTTGTAATACTGTACTAAAAAAAGTTTTAGTTATGTTTGCTATTTGTTTAGTTTTGTTGTTTACCAACGAACTTGTAAATATGACAGTACTTATCGTWATGTATTATTATTATTATTATTATTATTGATATTATTAAATGGCTAATATATATATATATTGTAGAAATATATATATAYATATTACAAAAAAAATTTCTATGGAAAATCTAAAATTTTACACTTTTTTATTCAAAAAAATCAAATAAATATATTGATTACTATCAATAGTATTATTTATAAAAACTTATTTCTATATAATAATTTTTAAAAATAGTTTGAATATATTATGTTTTTTAAAAATGATTTTATGTAAAGAGTATATTATTTTTGTTTTTTCATATCTTTTATTTCTCATTAGTATGACTTACATATATTGTATACAAAATTAACTTTCTTTGTTTTTATGTAATAAWGTATTACTCAATATATATATATAAMTATTGAGATTATATAAGACACGCATTGATATGCATTAGAGGAGTCATATCAGCTAATAATATATAGTTTGAAATAAATACAATATTATTATTATGTATATATAATATAATTTTTTTGTTGTTGTATTATATAAMAACAATATGGTCTAATGTTTTATWATAATAATATCCAATAATACTAAATAAGTATAAACACGTACTAAATAAGATATAAGAAAGTAAATTTCATGCTTRAATAAATAAAATTGACATATAATATACAATATATATATTGTATAGTATAAACTGTATTTTATACATAATGTAAAATAAAAAAAAATATATTTTTCGATAGATATTTATTATAAATTTTAAACTTAGTTTGTAGTTGTTAGATATGTTATTATAAATGATAAATTTATTTAAATAACTTAAAACAAACATGTATTTAAAATTAAAAGTTTATGTGTAGCTTTATGAATGAAAGTATAAATTAGTATTATTTAATAATTATTGTAAATACTATGTATTAATATAAATAAATGATTTGATAATAAGTTATTGGATGTTATTAAAAAATTATTTTTCAAATTTTMTTAATAAATTTTACTAAAAATGCAATATTAATTAAATAATTACAATAAATATAACAAATAAAATAATATTTAAATCTATAATATTTTGTATTGTGAAATATTTTTAATATTTATTTATCAGCATATTTATYATATTAGTTATTATAAAAAATAAYATTTATTTATACAATTCGTTTATTATATAAATATTTAGATATTTTTCTTAGAGTTCTCAAAAATAAAATCTAAAATAAATATTTTGAAATTTAAATTGAAAATTTTGAATATAACAAYTAAATAATAAAGTATATAAATAAAATTATTTWWAAAAAATATTATAAACATATGCTAAGGCAAAATATTTTAAAATTATTTATTAATTCAATAAAAATAACATTATTAGTAACATAATTAAAAATTTTAGTGTGAAGCATATAATGTTTAATGATAAGTCATATAAATGTTATCATATGATTTTAATGCAATAATTAAAATATATTAATAATATAACTCATATTTAAAATATGAAAATAGTTGATTATTTATTTATTCAAAAATAATTTGACATTTGATGTCATAAACAAATAATTTATATAAATAGCTTTAGGTGTAATATTTATTACTATATATTTTGAATATAATATTTAAGTACAGTATTATTAATTAAAAAATTATTTATATTAAATTTTTATTTTGTTTAATTATCATACTAATTGTGAAAATTTTTGAAACTTTAAAATTTAGAACTAAAATATTGCAAAATTAAAAATAATTTGATATACATTTTAAATCTCTTATTTGTTTTGTTAAAAAATGAAAAATTATTAAATAATTTTATATATTGTAGAAATATATAAATAATATAAATAAATTTTCTATTGAATAAGTGAATTTATTTAATTGAAATTTATTATTTACTGTAATTCACATTATCTCCACTCTAGCTATAAATATTAAAAAATAATTTGAATATAAATTGAATTTTAATAAGAATAGGTATTACGCAAAATGGTATTTAGATATTTGTATTATTGTATAAATTTTATATTATTATTATTATTATACAGTATTAAAGTATAGTATTTCTAATAATTTAAAAGTTTAGTAAAATAATAATGTTAATAATTTGCAATTTTATATTTCAGAATATTCTGTTATTTTATGATTTGTTTTTTCATAAAAATATTTGTTGATTATTTTGACTATTTGAATGTATATATATATATATTTGTACTAATAAATGTAAAGTTTAAATTTATACAAAAATATATATTTTAATTTTATAAAATAKAGTWGATAAAAATTATTGTGTGAAAAATTGTCTAAAAATTTGAATGACACTTAAATTAGCATAAATGTAAATTCCTAATAGTTAGTGTTGTTATTGATTTATTACTTAGTGTATTATAGTTTTATATTAGTTAAATTAACTTAATGTATTTTGAAAAATTATTATTATATTAATTTTGATATTTTCGTTTTATGTAACAATAATTTTTCAATACTT